CCATTGTACAGATTAGGGACTAGAAGTCCAGAGACATCATATCAATTGTCCAAAGGCACTCATGAACAGGAATATAATCTCATGAGCTCTCAATTTATGGCCTCAGCTCTCAGCCACACCCTTCTGATGGCTTTTGGTGTATTTAAAAAAAAAATAGACCAGACTTCTTCCAGAAGAATAGAAGGTCTGAAACTGGCTTTGAAAATTCAGAAGGACTTGAAACATGATAAATCCAAAGAAGTAGAAATAGGTGTGCTAGAGCAGAAGGCCTGGGGTAACCAGAAAGGGTAGAGACAGGGTTAATAGGTAGGAAGGAGAAGGGTTAGATAAGAGGTCTAGAGCGACAGCATGAAATCCAAAGGCTGGGTGACAGGGTTTTAAACTCAGCACCAAGTGGGTCACAGCCTTGGTTTTTGCCATATTTGAATTGAAAAACACTGGGATGTCTCCTTCCTTACTTTGGAAATAAAAAATAATAATAAGTCAACCCTTGAGTGACAGTTGCAGATTAGATTTTCAGCAAAATTCTTGGTTTAGTAAATTCTATAAATGGCATCTTCAGTTGTTTGTTCTCTTTTGACTTCTCAGGATTTCTTAGGGCCATGAAAAATTCAGGCTCATGAAGTCTGATTCTGTTGCATCACCTCTGCCCCCATTCCAGCCAAGCATCATGGTTAGATCAAGAGTACTGGAGCCTCACTTCTGGTCAGATGTGGTTCTAATCTGAACTGGTAGCTACTCCCACTTCCTGTTTTAGTTCACATTCTCATTACAGGTAACAGGCTCATACACCCAAGTAGAAGAGTATCTGGTATAGAGTTACTGCAACCGAAGAAAACAGAAACTATTCATCAAGGGAACCCCCTAACATATGAAAAAACAAACAAATAAAAAACCTCTCACAAGCTTAGAAACAAAGAGGCAAAAAGGAATTTGTGCATTCAAATGGTTGAGAGAAAGACTCAATACTTAGAACTCATTGTCTAAGGTGTGGTAATAGCAGGATTTCGTTCAGACTGAACTGGGTTCCTTGCTGAGTAAGATGCAGTGGGGATAAGAAGAAAGAGGTAAAATATAAATGATATTACTTACATGCATGGCTAGTATGCTTCTGGGGACCAGCTCCCTGTACTGTCTAATGGTAAAGTGCCACGTTTTTATTCTCATGAGGTCATCAAACGTGAACTCCAAGATCAGCCTGCCTTCTGTGCATACCTGGGAGTGAAAAACAGCACATTCATTTGCTATGCAGTTCATACAAGCAATAACTCACATCAACTTCCCAATATAGTGCCCTTTGAGGTCCTTGGACAATAATATCCCCATGGCACACAGGGACAAGCCCTAGAGTCAACAGATTCAGAGGATTGCTCAGTGGCTTATTAGCCACATGTATCAGTCACTCTGCTACCAATGAAACTTTACATGATTCATGAAAAACATGGGGCCCAAACCCATCTTCTGGGGACATTAATTCAAAACCAACTAATATACACTTTTGTTCTCTCAACAACTTCATTTTCATGATCTGTTTATTTATTTATTTATTTATTTATTTATTTATTTATTTATCATCCTACCCACAATTTCTCCTCATACCTTTCCTCCTATTGCCTTCCTCCTCCTCTCTGAACCCCCCATCCACTCCTCCTCTGTTCTTTTCAGAAAGGGGCAGGCTTACCATAGGTATCAACAAAACACAGCATATCAAGTTTTAATAAGACTATGTACCTCCTCTTGTATTAAGCCTAGTCAAGGCAAGCCAGTATGAGGTATAGTTTCCCAAGACCCAGCCAAAGCATTAGGGACAGACCCTGCTTCCATTGATAGGAGTTCCCACAATTAGAACAAGTTACACAACTGTATGTAGAGGTCCTACATTGGCCCAATGCCAGCTCCCGGGTTTTTAGTTCATACTCTATGAATTCCTTTGAGTCTAGGTTAGTTGTTTTGTGGGGTTTTTGTGTCTGTTATTAGTTCATATTCTATGAATTCCTTTGAGTCTAGGTTAGTTGTTTTGTGGGGTTTTTGTGTGATGTCCTTGACTCCTCTGACTCCTACAATCATTCCCTCTCTCTTCAGCAGGATTCCCTGAGGTCAGTTTAATATTTGGCTCTTAGTCTCTGCATCTGTTTCTATCCATTACTGGATGAGGGCTCTCTGATGACAATTGAGGTAGTCACCAATATGATCACAGGAGATGGCCCAATCAGGCTATATATCCACTATTGCTAAGAGTCTTAGCTGGGGTCATCTTTGTAGATTCATGGGAGTTTTCCTTGCATTAGGTTTTGACCTGACCTCAAAATGCAGCCCAAATTCTTGGTTGTCCTAATTTGGGAGAAAGTTTCCCATAAGATAACTGATGATCAAGTGTGAATTACTACAAAGTTACTACAAAGAGTATATCTTCATTTCCAAAGAGGAACTCCAGAGGGTAAAGTTCAATCCATTGCAGTGATACCAGTCATTGATGCATGGAAAATAGAAGGATGTTTAGAAAATACACTAATCACATCCACAGTGGCAAGTCCTGTTTATATTACACAAAGACATGGCTTGTCTCTCACCTACCTAAGAACCTATGTGATTAATAAACCATAACAGAATGCCAGAGTCTCTCTTCCCTTATAATCAGTGACAAAGTCATTTTAACTTTTCATATTCATATTCTTAGCACAATGACTTTGAAAGGGAAGAAAATAATACAAGGCAACACACACTATTGTCCTGTTTCAACTATGAGACAATAAGTGGAGAATAACATAAATAGTTGCAACCAGTTAATAAACCCATATTAGCTTTTGGGAAGGAGTACCATAGTGCATGGAAGCTTTGAAAATACATGTTAGTAGATTTGCATTCTGACTCTACTTTTCTCTTTCAGGAACTCAGGGAAAAGCAAATATGCCCCCACATTATCCAGTTTCCATATCAACAGAACAGAGACAATAACATCATTAGAAAGAGCTATTGAGAAAACACATTTCAGGGAATTCTATATGTAGAATGCTGGCTACTGTGCCTGGCACAAGTAGAATGGTGAAAAGATGTAGTTGAACAGATAAACAGAGCCAAAGAGAAGAGATAATTCAGTTGTGGTTGCCATGGTGTGTGTGCTGAGTTGTAGATCACAAGAAGAATCAGCGAGAATCTGTTCTGAGTTAATGGGGACTGAGCTTCTAGACTCCATCCATTCTCTCCTTTGTAATATGTTGAGTCTCTCCTGGGACTTTCAGGGGAAAAGATTTCTTAGTTAACACAAATATGCAAACTTCTTTCAGGAAGATGGTGGTTAACAGTTTGTGTCAAGCTTTCATGAGCTACAGCTAATCATTCTCTTGGAATAATACAATTTAGCAAGTTTTGGCTGGCACAAGCAATGATTGGGGGCTTTCTGTGTACTCTGATTGGAGGACATAGTTTCTTCACATAATCCAAAAGTTGTCTGGGAGAATTACCATGTAGAGTTCAGTAGGGGCTTTGCTGAAAATACATGCATTTGCCATCTTCATTTTATCAAAGGTATCTGGAACATAGTGAGATAATTATTAATAATCTGGGTGAAGACCTCTACTTCAGATCCAATTAGCAGAACTTGTGAGTAATTTCTGACATGTGGGCCCCCTGCCCTAAGACTCTGAGAGGAGTTTCTGCCGAGCCTGGCTTCTGGCATCTTAGCCATGAGTGTTATGTGAGTAGAAATGGAGATGGAGATGTTGTCAGTGTCCCCAAACCATTCTTCCAAGCACATTTTGAGCACTGGAATTAATTTGTTAAAGTTTTCAAACAAGTATCATGAAGACTAATATCAACCAACTCCTTACCCCCACCATTAGGGTGTTAATTTTATAGAAGTCGCCTGCAGTGACAACTTTCACAAAAGGGAGGTCATGAGAGTCAGCTATCAATGGGAAAATGCACATTTATAGGCCATAATCTTTTTTTTTACAAGAGGGAGCTTGTGGACCCAGACTGATAGCTGGGAAACCAACATAGGACTATTCCAGACCACCTGAATGAGGATGTCACTTTGGAGGTCTGGGCAATCTATGGGGCCTCTGGTAGATCAGTATTTATCCCTAGTATATGAATGGACTTTGAGAGCCCATTCTACATAAAGGGATACTCTCTCAGCCTAGACACACTGGGGAAGGCCTATACCCTGCCCCAAATGATATGACAGACTTTGAAGATCCCCATGGAAGGCCTCACCCTCCCTGGGGAGCAGAAAGGGGATGGGATAGGGAGTCAGTGAGGGGAGAGGGGAGGAGGGGGGAGAAGGAACTGGGATTGACATATAAAACAAGCTTGTTCCTAATTTAAATAAAATTTAAATGGGATTATCGGCTAGTCAAACATTTAAATGCCTGGATTATGATTATGATTATTATTGTTGTTCTTGTTATTATCATCTAATCTGTTTGTCTTCTGTCTGTAAACCACAGAGTCATGGCAGACAAAGGCTCTGGTTTGCTTCTACTAGAACCTAGTTTCATGATGACAAGGTAAGTATATAGACTGATATACTGCTGAATTGGAGGAACTGCATAGCCACAGTTAGGTGTGTTGTTCACTCTGACATAGCAAACTAGTCAGGTCTTCTTTTGCAAATAAACTGTCTCAGGCCTACAAAATGAAAAATTGCCACAAGTCTTGGGTTCCCTTTGTAGTCAAATGGGTCCACTTTCCAGGGCACACTATGGTTAAAGTGGGAATCCTTAAAACTGTATCCCAGTTCACTACAATAGATTCTTTTTTAAAGGAAATTAAATGACTTCCAAAAGTGGAGAATTTTGGTCATTGCTCTTTTTTTGAAGTGATTATGCAAACAGCACCATCCCAAGATATTTGGGGAGACCCCCTCCTGTAATGTAAGCTAGATGAAACTAAAGGTGTTGTGGTTTGTTTTCTATGCAACCATCGGGAACCATAACAGAGGTACACATGAAGGAATGTATGTCTCCTTTGTTAAACAATATATAAAATGAGCATAGCTAATAAAATGGAAGTGATGTTTTTTCTCACTTCAAAAAATATATGTATATGCTTATTAATGAATACAGTTAATACAGCTTTTATCTAATGTTGGTCTTAAAAAAAAAAAAACCCGCCTTTCTGTTGGAATCCAAAAATCAAAAGGGTCCCCAATTAAGAAAACATTTTCTGTTGTGCTGAATTCATGTTACCGTACTGTGAGCTCTGACATTTTGTTTCTGTGGTAACCAAAATCAGCTGATTAGTTGGCATGGCAACAGAAAAGATGTAATCCCAGCAGACATACTCTAATCAATGCCCCCAGCACAGATGGTCTCCGGAGGATCAACAAGAAAGAGGCTGGCAGGCATTCAGTGGATCACGTGCTAGCTTGAGACTAGGCCAGGAACAAGAAAAGTAAAAAAGAACATTTCTCAAACTACCCAGTAGCTTTTTAACCCTTTTCTCTCTCTTCCTAATGAAGTAATATTGACTGTGCTGTGGTATGATTCAACGGTTCCCACGGAGCTTCTCTGAGACAACCCATGCATTTTTTAAAAGGTGGTAATGTCTATTTTATTATCTTTATACGTGCATGGCAAGAACAGATTTATGTAGAATACTATTTTTTTAAAGAAACTCTCTGAATTTTACCTAGAGAGATCATATTAGTAAATGTGTAGTAAGGAGCTATGATCCCTAACATGGAGAGGAGAAATTATATACCATAATGTGACATGCAGGGTAAGGTAAGAATGGGGAAGCAATTGTCAAAAATCCAAGTAAATAGCATTTGCTTAGAGAAACTTATTTAATGAACTTCCAGGTTACACTTAGTAGAAAATAATTTCATAAGAAATAATTGAGAAGAGGAAAAATCCATAAAGCCATGTTTGCAGTGTAGTATCTATAACTATTGTTTTAATTTGCAAAACACAAGAATGTAGCATTTACAGTGCCTCACTAAGCTTCCTCTCCACATCCCTGAATATCACTCAAGAGTCTTTGACTCTGAGAGGCTCCTGGTATGCTTTTCTGATTATCCAGCCTTGTTTTCTATTTGATGTGAAATTGGAAACATAAAAGAAAGGCTTTATTATGTGCATTTAAAAATTCCAATTACATATTTATCCTTAATCTATAATGTTCCTGGTATCAGGAAATTACAAAATGCTCAGTATACCCCTGAGGGATATTTAATATCTCTGTTGATTAGGACTGTGGCTGATTTCTGATTCACTAGTTGACCAAATTTTCATAAAAGCAACTCAGCGGCATTGGGTCAAATACTATTTGGGGAGAAACAGTTTAGTGATCATCTAAATTAGAACAATGTGAGCTGCCGACAAATAATGTGCTAAATAATGCCAGGACTAAGACCAAAATGTCAGCAGTGGTTTTCGAATTCCCTTTCTTTGTGGTACCAAGAAGTAATTTGGCTCATTGTTTGTTTAAAATAGCCACGGTGTTTTATTACCCGAAACGGAATTATTTTTAATTAACACAAGAGCACAAGGAAAATTAGGAAGATTCTTAGAGTAGTATAGCAAACATCAGGGCTGGAGGGAGGAGGTGGTGAACAGAGGAAGGAAAGGATGGACAGAGAGGGAGAGAGAGAGAGAGAGAGAGAGAGAGAGAGAGAGAGAAAGAAGAAGAAGAAGAAGAAGAAGAAGAAGAAGAAGAAGAAGAAGAAGAAGAAGAAGAAGAAGAAGAAGAAGAAGAAGAAAAATGAATCAAATGAATCATTTGAATTATATCAAATTTCCTAAAAATAAATGTGTATAATTAGCATCTGGATTAAGTCCCTATAATGAAACTACATGTCCTAGAAAAAGATATATTTCATCAGACTATTGAAATATTCATTACAAGAATAGGCAAATAATACTGCCTGCCCCGGAGCAGAATGACATAGGTAGTCCAAATAAGGGATGTTCTCAGAGACAAGGGAATTGTTCAGGTCTTTCTAGTGATTGCCTCGTTTTCCTGAAAAGAAAAAAAAGAACCCACTGGACTCCTGGGGAACAGAGGGAACATTCCAGAAAAAGAATGCAGCCAAGAGGAAAAGCTCAGTGCCTTAACTAGAATGAAAATAGCACTTGGTGGTGCTTCATGGATTCCTCAGAAGAGAGAGATGGGTCTAGCACAGTCTGAAATATTCCATGCTACAGCATCAGAACAGCTCACTGCATTCATTTGTGAGTTATGACCTGATCTGAGAAAAAAAGAAATTGACTAAATATATAAAAAGGCTGCCACAAAATGCTTTTTACAGTTTTTAGTGGCTGCAGACATTAAGCAGTTTCTGAATGATGGAAAAGTTTTATTTAATTATCATGTTTTGTTTCTCTTGAAGCATAAGGAGGTAGCATGTTTTATTTGAATCAGCTAAAAAGCATTAACATTTGAGGGGAAGAATTTTCCTTCACTACTCAGACTTTGTAACCACAGAAGGGAATTGGATGTGTGTGCATCTTATCTTCATGATTATGAAAATGTCCTTTATCTTCAGAATGAAGTAAGTCATCAGCAGATTAAACCTACATCCCAATGGTCATTTCCTTCTGTAAGCAAAACTCTCTTCCCAGCACAGACTTCAGCATTCTTATGAGGCAGTTCTCTGAAGGATTCCTTTCCACTCTGTTTAAGTGTTAGGCAGAGAAAAACCCCAGCCCTTGCCATATTAAAAATGCTTGTTGTCAAAACCAGAATGAGATGGAGTAAATGGTAGTTGATGGCTTGCCTTTGCATAGCCATGTCCTGTGCCTTTGGTTTCACACACCATCATGAGCACTGAGAAATATTGAAGTACATTAATGTGGTGGATGATACTAATATGCAACACTGAATTATTATTCTTGAAGCAAAATTTCACAAGCAACACATCTCCAGTTTTACAGTTTGATTTTTGGTAATTAACCCTGATAATCCAACACCTTCTAGCTAGAAAGGGCTGTCATCTGTATTTTGTTCTAAAAGAGATAGCTGCTATCATGAATATCACAAAATAGACTTATGCAGAATTTTAGACCATATTAAATGAGCAAGTATTCACTAAAGCAAATTTCTGTGGGGCTGAAGAGATAGCTCACTGGCAGAGCATGCATTTAGCATATGGAAGGCCCCCGGTCCGAGCCTTAGTGCATAAAAAATAAATAAACAATAAACTTCCATTTACTAGATTCTGTGACTGCCTGGTTATTACTGTTGGAGGGGGACATACAGGGATCATGTGCTAATACTACCGAGTGGTCCTCAGTGAGGGGCATATTCCACATGTTGGTACTGTAGCCATGACAGATTACAGGTGCAAAATACAAAGATGTTGATGAATCTTCTGTTTTACATTTCATATCCTTCATAGGCCATGACCTTGGCCTCAAATACTGTACTGTCTGGCCCTTTCCCTCTTCTTTGCCTCTTAGTTTTATAACCAGCTTCCATCTCTTCTGTGCTCATTGCTGAGTTACTTGGCTGACACGCAAGACCACAAGGAAGCAACCTAGCCATGTCCACCCCTTTTGTTTGCAGATGACTACAGACAATAGTGAATATATAATTAGTGAAATAATGTCCTCTTCGTTTGCTCACATTGAAATTTCTTAACATTTTCAAAATAACCAAGCACAAATAATGTTTGTATTTCTTCAGGTATCAAAGACTCATTTGCATAAGAAACAAAAACTGCAGAAGCAGCAGAACTCTTTTCCTCTTAGTTATGTTTGTACCTGAGCTTGGCCCATACCTTGGTGAACATGGGCTTCCCATGTTGTGTGACCATGGCACACTGGTCGCAATCTACCGTGATGGATGAGTTGTGGTAAGACTCCTTTGAGTGTTTGAGGATGTAATACAGGTCAGTCACCCCTCCTTCAAATACGGTGCTAAAATAACGGGGGATGAGGGTCCTGCCGATAGCTGCAAGAGAAAAACAGAAGAGCAAGTCATGAACATGCATATTCAACCAATACTATGAACCCTCACCCTCACAGTGGCCAGCTGGATCCAGTCATCTTTGGAAACTGTGCCAGGAGCCATTTCTCTTTCTAAACAGCTATGACCCATCTGGGTTGTAAGTAATAAACTATAATCCCTAACTATTTGGGAAAAATGGGACCATCATCTTGCTGAGGTTTGTGTCCACTGAAACCACTAAAATAAGAGTGAATAGTTGAAATCTAAAGGGGACAGTGCACTTATACTTGGGGCCTCATATACGCTTTTGAGTGAACATATTTTATGAAAAACAAAAGCCAGACAACCTGCTTGGCTTGTCCAATAGGCTATTTACATCTTAATTGCCCAACTGTGTGTTTTGTTTTTATAAGTAGCAGGAATATAAATTTTAATACCACGCTGCCTTTTAGTTAGTGAAATATATTGGTAGTTTCTTTTTGGGTTTTCAGAAAAACAAAACAGGAACTACCTAATTAAGATCCCAAAAAGGTGACTATGAAAAAAATTAATATGAAAGTTTCAAAGTCACAGGATTTGTAAATAGTCTTAAACCCCACATATGCAAACATCAATAAACTTGCCTTGTCCAATAGTGTATCTTAAGCTGGTCTGAAAAATGGGGATCTCTGATAAGTAGCCTCATTCCATTCAGGTATGGCAACCAAATGGATTCTGATTTTTCATCTGTGTTTGTGCTAGGTAAAATATATCACTTCACTAAAGGACCCAGTTTAAGAGAACCAGATATCTCTGCTTGCTCTAAATTGGTCTCCTCCTTTCCATTCAAGTTTGAGCAATTTGAGTAGCTGGGTTTTTCTGATATATGAGGCTACCCAACTCAAGACCAGCCGTGATTTGAAATCCTCTTACAGTGGAAATCCCCTCTCTGGCTCCCCAACTCAAGACCAGCCGTGATTTGAAATCCTCTTACAGTGGAAATCCCAACTCATAAGTTCAGGAATTTTGCTTATGCGCAGATTTTAAAGGCAAAGTCCTAAAATTACTCTCAAGCAATCCAAAGACTTTTAAAAATAAATCTCCCACATCCACTATATAATACCTCCTAAAGACAAAAATAATATTTAGGATAAACAACCAATGAAAGCTTTAGCTAGGAAAGATCACATATCATTTCCTGAAAGTTTAGAGTGTTTAATTTCATTTTAAAAGCATCACTGTTAATCCACTCCATATGGATCTATAGCTCTTTTGTACACAGACTTGGGGAACATAAGTGTAAAGAGAATCTTTTGCCCAACTGTTCTGTGATGTGATCCTTAAGGAACCTGCATCCAGACAACAAACCTTTGAATAATTTATGCCATTGTTATTGCTTCCTTTTTGCTGCAGGTAAGTTCAATCAACAAGTGTGTTATAAGAGAGTGGTCTATGATCTTGGTGATGCTATCCCAAATAATCCTTGCACATGCATTTCCTAAGTACTAACTGCTCCCGAATATTGCATGTTCCTTCAGTGAATATCAAATTCAAATGAAAGTAATTTGACTCTAGCACATCCCCCAGCAAATGCATAGCTAATATTACAAAGAAAACTTTACAGAGCTGAAGACCTTATTGTACTTCTCCAGACAGATAAAATTAATTGAATGTACTTCAAATGTTCTAACTTAAAGCTAATTACCATAAATCAGCTCAAGTATTTTGACAATTTGGAATCTGTACTATTAAGAATAAATACACACCATAAAAGTGAAGTTGAAGGGTGAAATATTTCACTATAACATCCAAGGAATTGTCACATTAAAAAGGTTACAGCAAATAATTGCCACTGGATTCATCACACTGTAGTTTATTCTCTATAAATCATATACAGTTTAATATCTCTAAAGCACACTTCTCTATATATTAGCATAGTTTTATTCACAGTCTAAGAAAAAATGAATGGGGAAAAATGTGCATTTCCTTAAATTTAACCTTAAATTTGTAATGATTTTCTCAATCTCAGACCATGCCCAAACCCTATAGGAAATATACATAGAATGAAACATGGCTTTTGTGCATTCAACAATTTCTAGTACCTTAGGCAAAGACTGGAGACTGGCATGTACTGTCAGGCCCACTTCCTTTGTGAGACTGCCCTATTATGTTTCCCAGGTCTGATTTGGAATTATGCATATATTGGGACTGCCACTCAGGTGGTCCTGGTGAGCCATGACAAGACTGTCCATGATTGTTATATACTTTGTCTTTCTTCCTTTGGTCACCCTGGTCCCTGTTATCTGCTTCAGTAAAGAAAATGAGGTGTGGCTACCAAATGTCAGTTGAAGTGACACCTTAGGAAGAATTAGAAAGTTCTACCTTAGTGTTTGGGAAATATGCCCAGCTATTCTAAGACCATCCTACTATGAGAAGCCCAGCCAGGGAATGTAGAGAGGTCACCTGAAGAAGAGAGTCCTCTATCCACCACCCAGCACTAGTGTTCAGGAGTGAGACTATCTTAGGCCTACTTCAAGATGTCAGAGGGAGCAAAAGTGAAACACTCCCAACAAGCTATTTCCATGCAGAATATTGAATGAAAAGAAATAGTTGCATTTCAGAATTCATTCCTGAAATAAACAGGTAGTTTTCCCACTAAAATCTTGTAAATCATGGGCATATAAAAGCTGGTACACACAGAGAAAGCAGGGAAGCATATTGTCAGTGGACTGATTTGAGCCCTTATCTAGGCTGGGAGTCAATTTATGAACCATGTACACTGCACTCCTGGTCCTCTCCTGCCTCCTCTTTGTTCTTCCTCCTTCTCCCCTAGTTTTACTCCTTTCCCTTTTGTCTCAAGATAGTTATGTTAAGCTTAAATTGTTTGCAAACAGAGAAAGCTTGGTTAATGTGTCCTGTTCCAACATGGGTGAAAAGAAGTGACAGAGAGGATCTATTACAAGAGCTAACAGAGTCTCTATTTGCACACACACTGTGCAAAGCTACAGGAGATTAAAAGGGATGTCAGAGACTGTATTAGACTCCCACTGCTGCTGTAACAAATCACCACACATGCAATGGCTTAAAACCTCCCAAACATATTATCATCTTAGAGAATCAACAGTCAAACACAGGTCTTACTCAACTAATGAAAGTGTCAGCAGCTGTGGCTTCCCTTCAGGAAGCTCTGGGGAAGTTGTTTTCTTGTTTTCTAAGCATCTATGGGCTGCCTACAATCTTTGTTTTTGATTATTTGCTCACCTGTAAACCCAACAAGTGGCCCTTGTAGGGGTCCTTTTTCTTTTTCTTTATGGCCTTCATACACCATGTTTGGCCCCTAACCATTACACTGTACTCACATAGAAAAGCTATGATAATCTCCCCATCCCAAAGTCCTTACTAACCAGATCAGGAAGGATGCTTCGACCATGCAAAGGAGGATTCATAGGTACAATAAATTAGGATATAGGGAATAGATATAGTTAGGATATAGGGCCATTATTCTGCTTATCCTAGAGAGGATGACAAAAGCATATGTTCTATAAAGGAGACAGTAACACACACACACACACACACACACACACACACACACACACACACACAAGGTATGCACTCACAATGCATTATATAAATTGGGTGTAGAGTTAGGCATGGTAGCTTACATTTATAATATCAACATTCAGGAAAGTGAGGAAAGAGGTGTGCCATAAATTTGAGGACAGGCTGGGCTACGAAGTGATTCTCTTTCTCCAATAAATGAATAAATAAACTGATTAAGCATGCAATGAATGGGACAGTTCACCAGACCAAAATCCTTGTGTTCACTATCAACTCACTGTATATCCATTCATTTGTTTGTGAACATTCTCGGAGCTTGGAGCAGGTGCAGAGCTCCATGATGGTGCTAGAAGCATGAAAATAGACCTCATCCTGTCTCTCAGATTCATTTATATCAGGAGAGCTGGCAAATATCTAAGTGTTCATAACACAATGTAATCATTCATAATGCTTAAACTTGGATTTGTGATTTTGAACTGTTCACCAATATCTTCTGAATCCTGAGTCTAGTTCACAATTTTATACTGTGGAAGCACTGAAGCTACTACGTTTTATTAATGTAACCACATAGTATAATTGAGTGAACTGCTTTGAAGATCTGGAAACATTTCAGAGATTCAATGATCTTCTAACTTACAGGCCACATCAGTTCTGACTTAGGTTCACATGTAGATGCTAAACTTACCCTTTACACCTGTGTTTTAATCACTGGAAATAAAATCATTGAAATATTCATATGCATAAATCTATGTAGTACTCCTGTGGAAAGGCATTAAGTATTCCCTGAGTGAGATTAAGATTATAGGAGATAATAAAAAGCATTCTATTTTCCTAACACATTTTGATCAAAGTCCCTCAAGTTAGGAAGCATCAATGGGTGGAGAGTCAGAAACACAGAAATATTTCTGTTACCTTAGGTAATTGAAATATCCTATGTATTATTTATGTATATGTTCATGAAAGAAAAAAGGAAATCATACATTATATTATTTATGGACTGGAATACTTACAAAGAAAGTTCAAATACTATACTTTGTAGGTAAATATATTCAGTCTGGGAATAGCTAAAAATTTATTCATAGCTGTTTTGGATGTTGAGAACTGAACTCAAGTTCCTTGTAAACTTTCTATTGCTTTTTCCTCTTGTTACCACTTATACCCAACTGCTGGAAGTTCTCCATGAAGAAGTTGGTAGATGTGTGGAAGCAGAACCCAGCTTCTCTTCTGTCAGTGTTACTTGGATGCACATTTAGAATCTAAATGGCGTGGGTTAGGGAAATAATCCAATTAGTGAAGTACTTGAAGTTCAAGCATTAGGACCTGAATATGATTCCTAGAATCCACATTAAAAGTTCTGGGAGGCAGAGATAGGAAGGTTCCTGGAGGGCTTGTCACACAGCCAGCCTACACTGGTGACTCCCCAGAGCCACTCTCAAAAAACAAGGTAAATTGTAGTCCTGATGAAC